ATCGGTTCTAAGGCCAAGGCGGCTTTCAGAGTCCCAGCAAAAGCAGCACTTTCAGTTAATCGGGGTCACTATAAAGGGCATCAGTGAGGGGTGACCTAAGGATTCTGCCTCCACAAAGAATCATGAGGATTTAGTTAATGTAAAGAGAAAATAAAAGACATAACTGTTGCTGTGGGAACCAAGCATTAATTCTATCATTCGTCGATAAAGTCGCACCGAAAGATCCACTGAAATTTGGAGGCAGGGCTCGGACCTCTCCCATGTCGGTTTTCCGGGTTTCTAAACCTCGATGGCTAAAGAAAAACTTGATTTTTTGGGATTAGATATTTTCTAGGATTTCAGGTTCGGCTGACGATACGAGAAAGAAACTTTGACACTGATGCCTGTGACATTTAGAATGTTAGACATTCCAGGAGCGAGTTCAGGAATGACACACCCAATGTGAGTGTGAGACCGGTGCGACGCCCTAGCTGTTCAAAAATGCTAAACAGTGCTATGGGCCCAATGTCAATTCAGGCACACCCATAAAATCGCACTCGCACCCTGTCCGTTATTTCTGAACTCGGCCCAGCCAAGTTATCCATTCAAACGTTCAAAAAGTGCACTAATTACAGCAATGGAATGTTTAGAAACCCCGTTTGCAAATTGCCATCAAATTGACGTCACCAAACGTCACTAAGACTTTTTTTGCTTAGTAGTGGGTCAGACCCTTGAATTCCAAGGATTTTCTATCCACTCTAGTTCACCATTTAGAAACGAAATAGCTTTATCTTGGGCTGCGGTTTTATTATTTCATTCAACTCCCTCACATTCTCAGTACTTCCTGTGATACACTCAGTTGCCATTCTAATGAGTCCTCCCATAATTTTTATTGCTCTGTTTTTATGTTATGGTACCGACTTGAAAAGCTAGAGCTCAAAACGGTAGGTATGCTGAAGTTATTCACTACTCATGCCCCTTTCGAACTCATGGTATATTTGAATCTGAATCTTTCGAACTTCTCATGTCGGCAAGGTACCAAGCGGTCATTCGAAAATAAATTGTTTGTCAAATCTAATGCAGAAAAGAATTTAACGAAATCGTCTAGAGAGGAAAGATGTACATCCCAATTAGAAGTTCTGACCTACCTCAAGGACATTACCAAAGACTCAACTATTCTCATGTATTGTAGTAAATGCGGAATGTTGGTTTTAGCTCTTCATGTTGTTTATCAAATATTATCGTCTAAATTGTCCAAAAATGGCGTCACCACCACGCTAGTTTAACTGGATGGGTTCGGAAGGTCCCTTCTCGATTGTTCTCCAACCTTTAAAGAATTTCCCAGAGCGCCACCAAGCTTAACTATGGTATCAAACCACATATATTTGAAAACTAATTTTAGTTAAAATTTCTTCCAAAATAATAACATTGAAATCCAAATATCATACATCTGGCTTTGTCACAAATGCTGCTATGCTCAAGCCGTTCTGCAATGCCATTTCTGGAGTATTTGTGGTTTTATGTACTACATTTCTTTGAGTAATTTTCTTGTGATCTATCTATTGCAAAACTTGTATCCAGTGTCTGTCGTTAGATTCCTGATAGTCTGGCGTTCAACCATAATCTTAAACTCAATAAATGTATCTGTGACTTCATGCTTCTATTGTAAGAAAGAATAATCCTGCTGAGGTCATCTACTAGCAAAACTCCAACAAAGACTCATGTGACGTCTTTCCACACCACTCAGACAGGTCACAGCAAAGTGAAAAATTTTGTTTACTCTGTGCTCTGACAAATGGCAACCTGGTTTGTTCACCTTTTAAGCATGGAATACATTCTTTGCAATCGATTTGGTTCTTGAAACTGATTCAATTCACCCAAACGTTTTTATCTTTGTGATATCTCTAACATTGATACCTACAGTGCACACGTCACTGACGATTTCCACAAATATATAATCAACTTAGTTGTTTGTGGAAATCGTCAGTTAACTCTGGCCTCTAGTAAAGTTTTAACATGTTGTTCATCAGAGAAGCAGTTGCAACAGCACCATCATAGTTTTCAATTTTGTACCTTTATTTTATGTCCTTATTACTTGACTAACTGGAAGCAAATAGGTTCAGCACAAACAAAATATTCTGTAAATTAGGATTCGTTGTCATCATAAACCTGTATCTTATTGTTCCTCTTTGTGAGGTGTGATAAATAAACACACATGACTGATATTTCTGAATTATCCTGTATTCTAGTTTTTTGAATTTCTTATTTTTCGACAGTTTGAAGCCAAACATCATGCATTATCATATGAGCTGTCGTCCAGTCGGTTAAATGTGCTTTTCCCATTGAATCAATACCACCATAAAAATCCGCATGATCTGCTTCTTGGGATAAAACTACTTGTTTGTATTCTCATTTCCCTAATGTTCAAATATATTGCATTCATAACCTCTTGGTCCGCTATATTTAATGTTTCGTACCAAAATTTTAGCCTACCAGTATACAAGGCACGTTTTTTCGACCATTGTAGGAGTCTTTATTATCCTGTGAAAGATTTATTTTAACCGAATCAATCACCTGTGATTTCAACACATGAGCTCTGGATGGCCCATTATCTTTAATGGTCACTAATTTCCGAAATTGCATTAAGCAACTAAAAATAGAAATGAAAACACGGAATTTATCCTCACTACATTACAACTTGAATTTTGACAGTGTTACCACTCATTGTCAGCAGTGAAAATTTGTGCGCAAGACGTCCATCATGAATTTTGAGTGTAATCTTGTAATGTTCATCTGGATAACACTGTTATGGGCAGAAGCAGGGAGACCAAGTATCTTGGCCTAATTGTTGATGACCAGCTCAGGTTTGATAAACACATTGAACTCTTACGTAAAAATATCATCGGCATGCTTTGCTTTCAGAACTGTCGAGGCTGAGCTGGGTGAATCGGTTCCTAGAAGGGTGCAATTTTCTTTAATTGAGTCAAATCTATAGATAGGTATGGCATTTGCTTCTGATGCTCATTGACATTGGTTAACATGATATTTGTTCTCGAGAAGCGTGCTATAAGATCGGTTTGCGGCCTTAGACCACGAAGCTCTTGCAAATCATTCTTTATAAGCTGGTTGATTTTGCCCCTGCTGTAGAGGCAACACGATACCCCTACTAGAAAAAAGTGTGTTCGTTTTCGTGGACTGTAGTTATTTATAATTAGGAAAGGAAGAGAAAGAAAGTCAAAAGAGCGAGCTCTTCAACAAAACACCATCTATTGCATCACAATCACAAATCACAGGCAAAGTTTACATAGGTAAAGGTAAAACCGGAACAACAGCGCCCGATTGGAAATGTATGGTGAATTTAAACACGTAAATAACAATGGCAACTACTTTCACTTGTTTAAATAGAGATTAGAGAAAACTCTTTGCTACGCCACGTGCCCCGCGACGACAACAAGATCATGCAGTTTTGATTGGCGCACCGACTCACCTGATTTTTAAATGGGCCAATCAGGGTGCAACAAACATATCCTTGGAATTATGGGATCTAAAAATTAAAATAGCAAATGTCCTTGAATAATAGGGCACCAAATAAATATATTTTTAGGTTTTAAGTTAATTTTTAGCATCTGAATTATTTCTATATTTTTAAATTATTATTATTTTTGAATTATTAAGAATTTCCAACATCTGCCTTGTATCTTAATTTTAGAATCTGTGTGTCTCATTCAGAAGAAGTATTCCTCTAATATTGATGCCCCCTCTTCAGTCAACACTTCAGTTCACATATAATATTGATCTACCGATTTCCATATCCTCACCTACGCAAAGATCTATCTACTACAACGATAAAAAATAGATTTGCATAATGTCGATTTTTTTAAATTTTATTATATTGTATCGATATCTTAGTCCATATTGGAAGTTTTGTTATCTTTAACACTTTTTCTGTGCTATTGAAGTTTTAACTCCAGTGCGCCCAGGTTTCTTTGCCTTCCATTGCCTGTACATATTGCAGAACCCGTTAAGGCTTACAGACACTGAATTATTAGAAATTTTGAAGGATTCCAGTGTGAGGAAAATGAGGAAATGTTTACTTCACTTTGTTATTTTGATTTGTGTGGTTTATTATTCTATTTTTATTTTTATTATTATTTTTGGTTTATGTATTTTTTAGAGTAAATATTTGTTTGTTTCCTTTCCAATTTTTATTTTAAATTTTATTCCCAAAACAAAAGAAAAATCTCCGTCACGAATTATATTAGATTTACATGAACAAAGACAAAAAATTACATTTCTTTAATAAAAAAAAGTTTTCCTGGAGAAAAACTTCCCCCTCCTGCGTGTCGGGTGCTATACGTTAGTAGCAGTGGAAGTGTGCAATAAAGCATGTTTTGATTTGATAATTAAAACCTCAGGCCATATCGGCAACCGGAACAGCTGTTCGTGCTTTATTGATGGAGTCTTCTTAAATTTGATTGGTAGAAGATGCTTATACCGTTTATACATCATCGTCTGGTGCGTTTAAAGGTTTTCAAATTTTTCCACTTTTGAATTGTCTGTAGAAAACTCATTTAAGCTCGTAGATCTTTTTTTTTTTTGGCAAATATACATAAAATAGTATCATTTTATATTTAAACGAGTAAAAAAAGTTTCGATTCTGCACGCTTACCTTTTTGTCCTCCACAACATCCCTTCAGATCCAAAATGTTTAATCCTCTGGAATTTCTTTTTGCAGTAGATCAGGTAAAGCTCAAGTTAATTTTTAACTTGATCTGGGCTCCTATTCTCAGAACAAGGGAGCACTGTTCTGTAGCAAACATTTCATGGAAATGCACCTTCCCTGTTCTATCTAGCAGATCTAGCAGATACAAACGAAAACCTCTATGATTTCAGTAAACATACTTAGGGTTAAAATCATAGCGAAAGTAGTAATGGATAGTCGGCTTTTTCGTTCTCGTCAAAGAGACCGGCGAAGTGTTATATCTGAAGAAACAATTCTAAAATACAATTTCTTTTTTTAGGTGTTTGCTATGCAGAATTCGCCGCCCGAGTACCCAAAGCTGGCTCAGCGTACGTTTATAGCTACGTAACAGTTGGCGAATTTATAGCTTTTGTGATCGGTTGGAACTTGATTTTGGAATACGTGATTGGTACTGCTAGTGTAGCTAGAGGATTGAGCAACTACATTGACGCTTTAGCTGACAATAAGATAAGCGAAGCATTTTTAAGGTGGCTACCCATAAATATGTCCTACTTAAGCCCTTATCCTGATTTTTTAGCGTTTACTGTTGTGTTGATATTGACAGGTAAGAATTTGAGTCTTTATATCGCTACAAAATTTCGGTTATTTTCCTACTTAAATTTTCTAATAAATTGCCACTGATATATGTAGTTTTTATGGCCCGTAGCTTTGGGACTGTCTACAATATTTATGAAATAACTATATCAAAATTGCTTGAGAATTAAAGTATGTATGAAGGTAGTGCTTAATAAAATTACGTCACGAAATTCAAAAAATTCCAAGTCAATAATTTTATTTAGGGCTCCCTGTATAAAGATGGTGGACGAGAAAAAAAATAGTTGAGAATTTGACTGCTGCTTCTATAAAATTTTCTTGAATATCAAATAATAATTTAAATTGTTACTATCTAAAGCCGCGTACAGACTAAATTTCCAACGTAGACCAACGCCAACGGCACATGTGCTGTCGTTGGCGTTGGAACTGGAAGGCATAGGAAAAGATTTGAGTCTCGATTCGCGGCCACCATACATACCAAAGCCAACGCGTTCCAACATAGTTCACACAATGGCAACTTTTTACAGAGGTACCTATTTGAATATTTTTTTATTCCTGACTTGCGTTGTGCTAAAAAAAAACTTCCGTTATAATCTGGTTCACGATTTATTTATTTATTTTAAGTTATGTTGGAATTTTTAATAGCGCAGTCATTCAACCTAAACCATAATATTGGGGTCTGAAATAATGCTTGAGGGTATATATATATATATATTATTTTTGGAATGCTTATGTGGATTATTACCTAAAACCGATAAAGTCCTTTATATACTCGATTTTGAATATGCAAACGTGATTATTTCATTCGCTTGCTCAACTTGACATGGTAATATTTGCTTCAAGGTGACATACGTATAGATTGCATATTAAATTATATGTAAACTAATAATCTACAGGGTTTAAAGTTCCTAGATGAAAAAATTAATGCAAAGAAAGTATGTTTAACTTTGAGGTCATCCACATGCGAGTTAGAGAAAGTTAAAAAAATTCAATAATAGAAAATCTATTATAAAATTAAACAGATGGCATTACATATACCTACTTGAACTTAAAATAAAATGATAATAATTATCCGTAATTATTCTAGGTTTATTGTCCTTTGGCGTTAAGGAATCATCGATGTTGAATAATCTGTTTACTGTGCTCAATTTGCTGACTGTAGCTATAGTGCTTGTCTGCGGATCAATAAAAGGTATTCTAATATGGCTTGAAAAAATTCAGCATTGAGTTATAAACCTTTTAGCGGACACAGACAACTGGAAAATTCCCCAAGAGCAAATTCCTGAAGGCTATGGTACAGGAGGATTCATGCCATATGGCATAGCAGGCGTCATGGCAGGAGCAGCCAAATGTTTTTACGGCTTCGTAGGATTTGACGCTGTCGCCACCACTGGGGAAGAAGCTAAAAACCCGCAAAAAGATATTCCCTTGGCTATTGTTATAAGTTTGCTGGTTATTTTTGGAGCGTACTTTAGCGTTTCCACTGTTTTGACCATGATGTGGCCATATTATTTACAAGTGAGGATTATCATATCACATACCTAGGGACTAAAGTGGATCTTTTAATTCATTGTGAATAAGAGTACTACTTTAGTCTCCGAAGTGCATAAAATATACTGACACATAATAATAACCTTTTTTGCCTCTAGGATGTTAACGCTCCTTTTCCTTACGTTTTCGAGCAAGTAGGTTGGACGACAATCAAATGGATAGTAACTAGTGGTGCTGTTTTTGCTCTGTGTACTAGCATGCTGGGAGCTATGTTTCCGCTTCCTCGTGTAATTTATGCAATGGCTAATGATGGAATTGTCTTTAAACCTTTAGGCAAAATCAATAGTTGGAGTCAGACTCCTATTATTGCTACCATACTATCTGGCGTGTTTTCAGGTGAAAACTTTTACTGTTCTTTCAGCATTAATATTAATATTTTTTTAATGAAACAGGATTTATGGCAATGATTTTTGATTTGGACCAACTCATTGACATGATGTCTATCGGTACATTATTAGCTTACACCATAGTTGCAATTTGTGTGTTAATTTTAAGGTTGGTATCATTTTAACTATTGGTTAATCACTTTTTTCATTTTATGTCATAATTTAGGTATCAAGTAGACGAAACTAAAGTGATAAAAAATTTGGACAAAGATGCCAACGTATACAATTCAACATTTTTCAACGGATTTGTAGAAATATTCAATCTGCATAATAATAAGGAGGCTAACCCCCGTACCTCGAGAATCACCAATTGGAGTATAGTTATTTTCAGTAAGTCATGCCGTTAATTGATAGATCCACAACAATAAGTACATGCCTACCTATACCGCATAAGCCAACATTAACTCATACAGGATCCAAAGACAATGAATGGGAAAACGATGGAATCTAAAAAGCTTTTTACAGTCTCAAAATTTCAGTTATTTCGAGTAATACCAGAAACGACATGGGTATTTAGTAAGTTTTTGTCTCCAATTACAACTTGCGGGTTGCCTGCCTTGATTGCGTTATCCCGTTGTCGGCTTCCACTCCGTATACCCTTCTTTGTCTATCTCCCATATGTCACCTCGTGATTTCTTGAGTTACATTGTCGACTCTTAACTTGTTTCTGTTTCTGATCCACTTATTGCGCTTCCTACGTGTTTGTATTTACATTTTGGACACTAGATCCGATATAGTTTCTAGGGCTTTTATTAACTTATTCTTTTTTCAAACTGTAGTCATCCACTTCTAGATGTTGGCCTCTTCCAAATTCTTCCAAGCCTATATATCTTTAGCAGTTTGGGTTCATTTCGGTTCTGCGATATTTTGTATATCATCTCGCCATCGTCTCTAATGTCTGCCAGCGCTCCCTTCGGGCGCCCAACCGAAACCACGTGTGTCCACCTGTATTCATCTTGTCTCGCTATTTGCCAGACCATCGCCACTTGAGTTATGCCACAGCCTTTAGCACATCCGTCAACCCAGTCCTCTCGGGGGTCATTTCCTTTTAAATTCTGTCCCTCTAGTAGTTCCAAGCATAACCATTGCTCGTGTAGTTTGCAGGTTATTGGAGGATTTCCAAGAAATCGACAACAAGAGCTGATCGCTAACAGCCACCTGGATGTATGTTTCTTGTTCTTATGATCATTGTTTTTGTTAACTTCATTTGAATCCAATTTACAGTGATCCACGATCAAGTTCTCCAATCATACTTTTGAGTTCTTCGCTTGTAATAGCAATGTCGTTCGAAAATATCTTTCTGAAGACATCTTCCAGGGTTAGTGTGAAACATTTTGGCGAGATTGTGTTCCCTTGTCTTTCTCCTCTTTTGGAACTTCTTCAGTTTTTAGATCATCAGCCATTTTCACTTCTATATGCCTGGATTCTATCCTCACGTTATCTAATTATTTCAGAGTTGCCCAGGTTTCGACAAAGTTGAAGGCCTTCTGGTAGTTCACCAAGGCCAAGTGTACCTAATGGAAGATTATACTCCGTGATTTTTTCAATAATAGTATGAAGGGTCTGCAAATGGTCAATAGGACCATATCTTCTGTTCAACTGGTACTCCATTTTGTTGGTTAAACCGTTCGTTATTATTTTTGTTAACAGTTTATACGAATGTGGTAACGACTATAGTATTCTTTGTTGGGTTTGTCTCCTTTCTGGAACGACGACTTCTACATTCTTCCACTTGCTTGGAATATTTCCATCTCAACATTTGTTTAGCAAAGTCCGCACAACTTCCAACAGCACCTCGCTGCCCATTTTAATAATTTCAGTAGAAATTTGATTTTCATCTGGGCTTTTTTTTTCTTTCTCATTGGATGCAATGCGGCTTTCTGAAGTTTTCCTTCTGTCAGGAGCATATAATTCTTGTTGTTTCTCATAATCCATTAGGCAGAATGATATACCAGTGCAGGATTATGAGCTGTTCGCTATGTGTGCCCGGGTTAGTGATGTTGTAGAATTTCACATGGCATGTGTGGAAGGTTTATGACAATTTCACGACACGCTTGCCAGGCGGGTAGGCAAGTTCTATAATAGCCGCCAATTTTAAATACAGACGTGACAACCGTCCATTCTGGGTGGATCAGACGCTGTCGATATTTACCATATATGGCTATTCTCAACTTAGTTTAGCCTGCAGGTCAATTCCGCTGTACAGTTAACCAGTTTATGACACGTGGAGCCATAAGTGAGAATTGTCTGTCCACTCATCTCCGACCACTTTCCAGCTGTGTCGCTGAGTGCGACCATCCTTGATGAAAACTACAACCTTTAGGTACAGCACCTATAACTCCTTTATTAACATTTATAATCTTAAAATTACGTTTGATTACGTCTTCTCCGTTTGACAATATTTTACATATTTGACATTATGTTGTTTTCCGGCCTCTAGTAACACCAGCATCTCGTACATTATAAGTCATGTGCAGATCTCAGGCTATTCAATTGTTTTTCGTTTATATTGATTGCATTGATGCGGTAGTTCTTCCAAGTTTAAAAGCTGAAAGATATGACAATAAGGAAACGATTTACAGAAAATGGCATCACGCTTATTGCACAGACAGGTCGTTAATCTCATGTGTAGTGTTTCGTAGGTTTTCCTCTCTCATCTCGAAGGACAAGGGTTCTAGGGTTTGTGTTGTCTTTGAAGTTTTCTATGTATGTAAGTATTTATTCTTGAGTAATTTAGTGTGTCACTTTTTTCTGTCAAGTTCATAATTTCGGCTTTCCCTTCCGATAATGTCTTCCTGAAGACTTTAGGTACTTTGTTCATTGCTACATTTCTTCTCACCATTCCACTCGTTTTTTTTTTAAGTTCTTTATTTCTTTGTCTTCGGGGGTTTGATTTCCGTTTTAAACATTAAAGTCCCCAATCAGTATAGATAGTAGAGTAAACTTTGGTATAGTGTAGTATGTACCTAAGTTTAATTGTTATTTAGGGTTATTTCAATGTTCGATGTTATCAAGTTATTTAAGCTTTATATTGCTATCCTATAAACTTGAATCGATTTTCATGGTCGTGAACAAAGTTAGTGTAACTGTCACTTGGAGAGTTTTTTTCTCTAAGACTGCACACGTGATTTCTCTGTAATATTGAAAATTTAAAGTAAATATATCTATCCATATGGTCACATTTATTTGCAATCGTCATCACGAGACAGCATCCTCAATCTTATTTTTTGAAACTCGTGAATTTCTTGTGCGAAACTTTTCAGACTTCCTTTGAGTTTTCAGAGTGTCACATACAAATAACACGCACTAATAAAGCTACTTTTATATCAGCAAGTAATTCGAAATTTTTGCCGATGCGTTTCTTTAGATGATACTTTATTAGGCCTCGCCCAGCACGGAGTCTTGAGCTTGTGAATCTTTCAATTACTGACACCTCGTTTATCGACTACATTTTGGTTTTGTGGAAAATGCCAAATAAATGCATTTTCCTGTAACTCACAGTACAACATATTTTCTTTTTTCTAGGCATATTCTCAGCTCTCTTCGCTTCAATTGTCATAAACGTACCCAGTACCATCTTCGTGGAACCATTCTACTGTGTTGGTTTCGTAGTGAGTCTAGTTGCTATGCTGGTTTTGATGTTTGTGATTGCTAGACAACCTGTTGCAGAGATTGAGTTGTCTTTTAAGGTAAAAATATTTTGACCTAGTAATAAAAATAGGATTAAAAAAATATTTTTTTAGGTTCCCTTAGTTCCTTTTATACCATGCATCAGCGTTTTTTTCAATTTGTATTTGATGCTAGAGCTGGATCTACATACTTGGATTAGATTTATTGTATGGTTGATCCTTGGTTTCATGATATACTTCTTTTATGGAATCAGGAACAGTGTGGAAGGCAAAAAACTCAGAAATCAAGATCAACCTTTGAGAGACAGCATAAAATCTTTTCCAAATAAAGATACAATGAGTATCGGATCTTATTCACCTTACAATCCTAAATAAGCAATAAGTATGGAATGGAGAAAATGGAAATTCAGGAGAGTTAAATACTTCTTTGGAAAATACTGTGGGTATTTATTTCTTCAAAGATGGCATATTTTTGACTTGAAAAATACCTACATAAAATGACAAAAATTTTAAGATTTCAACATGAATCCCATGAGAATCCCATTATATTTTTTTTTTGTGTGACTCTTTTTTATTATTTATTATATTAGTTATATTATGTGTGCGACACAAAGTTTTTATCGAAATTTGCTAACTTGTGATATCAGTAAACTTAGTACTTAATTTTGATAATAGAGTAATATATTTTTAAATGTAAAAAAAATACTTTTAGTGCTATGTCTCTAAAAAAAGTAGCTATTTTAGAAAGCATTTGAGACGTCGTATCCAGTAATTAAATAAAATATTTTTTTTAAAGAGAATTCCTATTTTTTTTTCAAAACGCATATACCTACCTATGTTATTTGTCAATTATTGTGTCGAAAATTGTCTTGTTTTGGCTTTTGGTTACTAGATGTGGCAATATGATCAATATGTTCTCGTAATTCGAGTACAAGATGTGTATTTCAAAACTCCGCCTATAAAATAGTCATGTGGATAAAACCATGCCAAGAAACATGACCTAATACCTAATAGAATGGAACAACATGCTTTCCTTTTTCTTCTTTGTGATAGTCTGTTCCCATCAAACTGTAAATATCTGTTAGTCATATTAGTCAGTGATGGCGCTGTTTGATGTTGGTTGCGAAGTAACAAAACGTCATACATGTAGCTAATGGAGGTACAACTTGTCAAACATACCTAGAGACGTGAAGAATGCGTTCTCACTCGGTTTAGAGTTGCCAGATTGGGATATCTACAAATCGGGTATACCAATCAAAAAGCTGTTAAAAAATCGGGACACTTTTTTTTTGAAGGAATAATTTAATATAAAGCAAATAAAATGTAACTGAACAATAAGACTTCTAACATAATTTAAAAACAAAAACTAACGCTGTTTCATTTAATCTCCGGGAAATAAAGGAAAAATTTAATCTTTTGGGAAATAAAGTGAAATTTAATCCCGGGGCTTGAAAAACCCACTTTACCCCCTGAAAACAGGAATTAAAAGGGGAACTTTCAATCCCTAAAGTGCCTAAAATGCATCAGTTTATTCTTATCGTCGTAACCAAAAGAATCTTGACATAATTATGAATAATGAATAGTAATAGATAAGTAACAAGTACAATTCAAAAATAAGTGTATTATAAGTAGGTATTTTTATTTTTCCCAACTTTTTAAAAAATTTGAAAACTCCGTGAAATCAGGACATTAAGCGTCCCGACGTATCGGGACACGGGACAAAATCTCCAATATCGGGACTGTCCCGTTAAAATCGGGACGTCTGGCAACCCTAACTCGGTTTTCTACGCAGATGGTAAAATCGCCAGGCCTCTCCGTATATTTGACAAGTTGTAATCGTGATCTCGTAAGTAGGTATTGACAACTCGATCATCAACTACCATCCACCTCTCAACGTAGGTATCCTTTGGAATACTTCTATGAAATGTAATAGTCCTAACAGTGCCACTAGGTACTCCTAGTTCTGTGTATAGATATTATTTCAGATTAGGCAACTATGCCTTACTTCATCATTTATTATGTGAACAAGATTGGACAGAACTGTCAAATGCTGTTGATGTCCCAATCCCAACAATTTTTCTAATAACACTATGGACAATATTTTCGAACAGTGCATTATTTCCTAAATTTAAAAAGGGTAATTTGAACCAAAATGGGTTTCGAAGGAGCTTATCCAGAAATTGTGCGAAAAAAAATGTTATTGCGGAATGTCACAAAAACAATCTATGCTCAATTTATGTAGATTAGATTAGATTTATTGAACGGAAATGGTGCAGAAGCGTCCTCTAGCACTGCAACCTTGTCAGATTTATTGTGGTGTCTCCTGTCTGACCTTAAAGTGCTTTGTCCAAACCCGTCCTTCTGATTAGACTCCACAGCCGTGAAACTGTCCACTCCATATAGCTTGCCGGTTTGGGCTTCTTCTCACCATGTTTTTCTGAATCTGAGCCTGCATAACGCTTCGCAATAGCACTACACCTGTACGGCAGTTTCTTCCGCCTCCTGGTAGAACCTGCATAGACTATCTTCTGCCGCAGGCTCATTCTTTCCAGGTGTTTATTAAGTCTGCAATGCCCTGTTATTTGACATACCATTATCCTTACAACCTTACGGATGTGGCTTAGTAGATCTGATGTGAACTTGGGCAAGCAGGATTTAATGAACTGCTTTGCCTGTCGTTGTTTGCAGCCACCATTTCTGGATTTCTCTGTCTATTCAGTTCTTGATAGATGTTTTCAAGAGGCATGCTGAGATTCCACAGAATGGTTCTGGGCCTATCATCTCGGTGGCTGAGCCTCCTTGAGCTAAGAGTCGTCAGCCTCTTCATTGCCTAGGTGGCCCTCATGGTACCCACGCTACAGTTTGTTGGATCGCCCACCTCCTCTAGGGCATGCATACAGTCGTTGACCAGCTGGACTTGATCTTCTGGGAGCTGATTGCCTTCAGGGCTGCTTGATTGTCCGAGTAAATGACAATGTTTCTACTCATTACTTCTTTTTTCTTTATCAGTATGGCACAGTGCATCAATGCATCGATTTCCGCCTGAAATACCGTGGCGTGCTGTTCGAGGCTTATAGATATTTCCACTCTGGGCCTATCGCCGTAGATGCCAGCTCCGACCCCCTTGTCGATTTGGAGCCGTCGGTGTACCCGATTTGGTCTGCTTTAATTAGAGAGTCTTCCTTCCAGTCTTTCCTATCCGGTATGGCGACCCGAAAGTGCCTGCTGAAGATGAAAAGAGGAGTTGTGTTATCTGAAGGCATCTCGTACAACGAGCCGACCTCTTGATCCTCCTCTATCTCCCAACTCATATTCCTTTGGTGTTTTATAATCGGACCTTGGCCTTGTTTGAGTCTGTGACGTACTGCCTTTACTTCACCCTGTATGTAGATATGTAGCGACGGTAGGTACAGCAGAACCTCTAGGGCTGCAGTCGGGGTCGCTCTCATGGCCCACGTGATGCATACGCATGCTAGCCTTTGCACACTTTGAAGCTATCTGATTGTTACGGTCTGTGTGACCTTTAATCCCCAGGGAACCGAACCGAAGTTTATCATTGGCCTTATTACCATTTTGTACAGCCATAGGTTCATCTAATGGTTAAGCCCTCAGCTTTTTGAGCAGAGCCTCCTGCATCTCCCAAGGACCATTTTACCTTATGGATCATTTTTTGGTCGATGATGACTCCCAGGTATTTTACCTGTTTCGGGAAGGGAATTTCCGCTTTGTCAAGTCTGGGGCATCTAACCCCTCTTTTCTTTGTGAAGGGGCAATTACGGTTTTCTGCGAATTAATTGACAATCGTTCCTCCCTACACCAGTTGCCCACTATGTTCAGTGCGCTTTGCGTTCTTTTTGAAGCATATTCGAGGCGTCTGCCTCTGACTACTATGACTATGTCGTCCGCGTAACCAAGGCAGTGGAATCTCTCCTTGGCCATTTTTGCCAGAAGATCGTCGACTAGGACGGCCCAGCTTTTAATGTGTCCTCGCCCAGAGTGGATCCAATGATCATGTCTCTTAGGCTGGATTCCAGTTGCATATAGTGTGCGGAATGTTTCTAGGCTTAAGTGCGTTCATTAGTGATGTTGTTGGGACGTTATTAAACGCTCTCTCCATGTCCAAAAATACTCCTAGCGCCACCTCTTTGTCATCGATTGACTTTGTCAGGAGTCTGTTTAGACACTTAGATCATCCAATGCGGAGTCTGTAGACTTTCATGGCTGGTAAGCATACTGGCGATCGCTCAGGGTCGGTTTCTCAATAGCGAGTCACCTCCGGGTTGGTTTTAACGCCAGGGTAAATGTATCCAGTTGCAATATTTACCCTGGAGTTATGCTTAACCCGGGGGTGACTTGCTATTGAGAAACCCGCCCTCAGAGTATAGAGTGTCAATGTGTGGTCTCTAATGTATCTGTCCACTATTTTTTCCAGCGTTTTGTGTAGAAACAAGGAGAGGTATATACATATGACTTAGGCGTTTGGTCTAGAATCCTGCCGATCTTTGGCAGGTAGGCTACTGTCGCCAGTTACCATACCTCTGGTATGTAACCGCAAATTATGCATGCTCTGAAAATTTTGCAACTAACCCGTCCACCTAGTGCGATCTAGTCCTCGTCAGTTGGCATTTTATTTAAAAATCAAAATGCGCTCAAGGGAGGCTACATTAAACTCAATTAACTTTTTTTTTTTTTAATAAAATGGTAACTTACGAGGACCAGGCGCACTAGGCGGACGCAGTTTGGCTATCAATTTGGGTAAGTATGTATTTTCTTGATTATCATCAGCCGGTTAAACAAACATTATTGATAAACCTGGAAAAAAAGCGCTACCAAACGATTGCGAGTAGATAAAGTGATACATTTCAATTTGGGGATGCTAAGTCTACAGAGGTTCAATTGCCTTAATAAGGGGATTGAATGCGCCGTTTAAAATATATTGTAACGCACGTCGAACTATACAACTACCCAACAAGTTAATACTACTAAAGACGCGAGGTTCATCGCGATCATTGCATTAGGCTACTGTTGAGCCGGTCGGCGCTGGATCGTTCATCACGTCGATTTAAAATGTATCGCAAAACAGGCGGAGGAAAGAGCTATAGGATTTGCTGCGGGCATAACAGAGATAGACAAAATGACAAGAAGAATTAATTAAATTTCTACAAAAAAAAACAAGATAATTTTTGGAATTCTGGTTTCCGCCATTGTATTGCTAACACACATAAGAATGGCGCTAATTAAAAAAAACTTTCTTGTTTTTTTTCCAGTTTAAATTACATTTTTTGTAATTTTTCGACAACTTGTTTCTATTATCGGATTTCTAAAAAGATAGCACCATTCGTCCCTATATTAAAAATCGAATGCAAAAAAGAAAGTTGATATAACTTCAACTGTTAAAAAATTATGTTCAAATTAAGAACGCAATGCATTCCTTGTTTCATTCATCTCATTCCCACTAAGGAGTATTAATAGGAGCGGAAGAATACAATGATAGACTGCGTTAGGTGCTTCGCGCAGGAAATAATATTTTGGCATTGAGGCGCATCTAATCCCCTTAAATATTTTTCCGCACAGGTAGTTATTTGAAATCGGTGTCAATACAAAAGCTCACTGGTTTCAACACCCTCGTGTCAACACACGCTAGCATCTGTAAATATGCGGCCCGGCTTATTCATCTTCAGATAAACTTGCTGGTAACTATCTGCAAGATAAATTTACCGTTCTATACTTCTATTCGGGATAAAGGTTGCGTTTATATCAGATTGCATACCTGATAGTTTATCAGAAGGTGAATAAGCCG